TGTGGTGCCTTTTATGTATGGGAGGAGGGCTTTGCCGTTTTCTTGTTCTTTGTCTTGGATTTTGGTGGGGGTTTCTTTTTGGATTAGGTTTGTAATCTTATTTCTATGGAATCCATTGGATGTTAGTACATTGGTGAGAGTGTGTAGTTCGGGTTTTAGGTGTTGTTCGTCAGCTAAGCGTTTTGTTCTGGAGATGAGTGTCTTGGCTACAGAGTTGATCTGTGCTGGGTGGTGGTGTGAGAGAGCGTGCAGATAGCGGTTTGTGTGTGTTTCTTCTGGTAGATGGTGTGTCCTAGGGAGCCATTGGATTTCTTGTAGACTAAGACATCCAGGAAGGGAAGTTGGTTGTTAAAAGGAAGAAACAGCTAAAACCACACATTGCTGCTCAAAGCAAGAAGCTAAAAAACACCAGCCTGAAGATGACGAATGTGACTTCGTCGAAACGTTGCCAAGACACTTCCAATTTTACGCGGGAGAAAACCCGAACAACCAAAGACCTATATACAAATACCCGCGAAAACCTCAGAAAACAACTATCTATCTATCTATCTATCTATCTAGTCCTCAACTTACAACCATTTATTTAGTGACAGTTTGAAATAATAATAGCACTGAAAAAAGTGACTTATGACTGTTTTTCACACTTAACGACCATTTGACAAGCAGAACATTAACAGCAATACAAAATATGTTCTGCATTGGACAGTATTTCTCATTTAAAATTCTAATGACACCATTTGAATAGGGAATTATTTATAGATCCAGGATCTAAGATTCGGAATTCCTAAGAAGTTCGGATGGTTCTTTTTTATGAAATTCAATCATTTGATCTATTCAATTCTACTATACTAGACATTTCATTTGTTCCAATAACTATTTTATTCTATGTCTGTTTTGTTCCTCAGTTATGATTAGTTTGCATGTTTCATTGTGATGCTTCATTTATAATGAATTGCTTTTTATCAGTTCTGACAGCTGCCAAGAAGGCTCTTCTATTGCTTTCTGAAAGGGATGGATAAAATTATTTTTATAAGCAATCATGAAATTAAAACAGCATTGTAACTTAGTGGAAATCTGGTGAAGTGTGTTAAGAGGAAGCCCTGCCTACATGCCATGAACCTGAACAAAAAACAGGAACAATTAAATCTTTAGGGAAATTTTATTTCAGGCTTTTTTCCAATCCTAAATGCTAATTATGCCAAAGGGACTTTTTCTATTGTAAGCAAACATTAATAGTTACCAGGAAGCAGCCTAATGCTTTCAACCTAGAGTATTTTTGTATTAAAGAGGATATTATGTAAATGTTTGTTTGAAATACTAGTATTTTGCTCCAAATTCAATACAGATTGTCCTTGATTTACAGCCACAGTTGAGCCTAAAATTTCTGTTGCTAAGAGAGACAGTTAATAAGTGAGTTTTCCCCCATTTTATGAATTTCCTTGCCACAATTATTAAGTGAATCGCAATTGTTAAGTTACTAACATAGTTGTTAAGTGATTCTAGCTTCTCCATTGACTTTGCTTGTCAGAAGTCGCAAAAGGTGATCATACATGACCATCATAAATACGAACTAGTTGCCAAGCATCTGTATTTTGATTACATGACCATAGCAACGGTTATTAAGTGTGAAAAATGGTCATAAATCATTTTTTTCAATGCCATTGTAAGTTTACTAAATGAACTGTTGTAAGTTGAAGACTTGTATTTAAGTAAAGCAATATAAACCAAGTAAGGAGATCCTTAGTCAACATATACTCAGCAATTTAACAAAGTTGGATTTCCTACATTAGATTTCTTCCCATCTGGGAAGAATTTTACCAGAAATTTTATCCCACAGTAAGTACAGCAGCCTAAGTCTGAGCTTTTGATATTTTATTCCAATCTGACTCAAGTCACATGGGGATTACAGCAAATACACAAATTATTCAAGAAAAAAGTCCAGTTTGATGATTTAAAGGTCAGATACTCATAGCCATCTTTTTAAATAAAAGGAAAGCAACTTAGTAACCAAGGATCCAAGGAAAACTACAGCTTGTTGTACAAGCCTAGTCACATAATGTACTTGTGCATTTAGCACTGCTTATAGTACAACATGGCAAAAGACTCCAAGCATTAGCGAGAAGGTGATAGTTCCTGAGAGTGAAGTAAAGCATACCAGGAAGAACTTATTTAAATACATTTCCCAGTATTTGATGAAGGAACAAGTACAATCGCTGATGGCTATGGTTTTCAATAGCCTGGGCACAATTCAAAACCACAAGTCTTCCAGAATAGAGAATTTATATTTGCATAAAGGATTAGTTGTTTCATTCTTGGTATGACTGCAAAGATCCTAAGCTAGGATTGGTATCTAAGCACAATTTGAAGGACACATTCAAAGTAAAGATTACTGAACTTTATCCCCTTGTACAAACAGCCAAGATGGCAAGCTGAGTGCCGTGAGCTTTCTGGAATAAAAAGAGGCAACCTGTGGTCCTCTAGCATTGGCCATGCTGGGTATAGGTACGGAGAACAAAAATCCTGCAACCTTGAGGTAAGATGGGTGGCCTATAAAACAAACATCTCAAGATCTGGTGAGTTTCCACCCCAGTTCTAGAAGCAGGGATGAGAGTAGGATTCATGAGTCTCCATGAGTGGGAATAATATGTCTATACCAGGGGTAGGCAACCTTGGCTCTTTTATGACTCGTGGACTTCAACTCCCAGCATGGCTGGCTCAGGAATTCTGAGAGTTGAAGTCTACAAGTCATAAAAGAGCCATGGTTGCCTATCCCTGGTCTATACTTTTTGCGAATATAGAAAAATCTTACCTTGCATCGTTTGCACAATCATAAACACAATCCTTTGATGATACTTGTATAAAAATTGTCCTAAAATCTAGGACGTTTTGTTCCCGGTTCATATTTTTAGACTCAAAAGTTAATGTTCATTCATATACGATACAAAATTTTGATTTGGCGACACAAGCCCAAAAAAACTGAATTGAGCTTTTCTGCGCTTCCTTTTTTTCACTTTAAACAAACCTGTTTTGTATTTTTTCCCAAAGTGGAAAATTATTTGTGCCTGTCCTATTCTGCCAGAAAAGCATGAACCACACAATTTGCAAATTCAGACATTACCCTGGGTCAGGAAAGGAAGGGAAGTGTAATGTTTTTCACACCTGTGCAAAGAACTGAGGATCTGGCTTTTTACTTATAGTAAGTAAATAGTTCTGTAGAACTATTTTTTGTCTATGTGAGTGTGTGCCTTTGATTCCATGTTCACTCCTGATGACTGCCTGGACAAGTCCCTGCGGTTTTCTTGGCAAGATTCTTCAGAAGCAGTTTGCCCCTGCCTTTCTTCCTAGGGCTGAGAGAATGCCACAGGCACGATTAGAACTCAAAGTCCTGGTTTTTAGCCCACTGCCTTAACCATTGCACCAAACTGGTCCTCTGTATTGAACTAAAGTACATTTTAAATCAGGCTTGTAAACAGCCATTTGTCTCATTTGATTGTGACAAGCTCCAGGCAACGAGGCTGGGGGAAGAGATGGTGTTAAAATTTAACTACTGATAAATTAAAGGGGAACATTAACAACACAGGTTAAATGGGTTAGTTTTTAAGGAACAGCAACTTAGAATTGCTATTCTAAGTTAGCAACTACCAGAATGCTGGTTTACAACAGAAGAGCCTGAAAAAAAACCAAGAAGCTGCTGAAGGAAACTTCACACAACATCCAGGCAGGTCCCTCCCCCATATTAAAAATACAAATAGATTACAGGCACTGAATTTTGGCTGGCTCAAATAATATAGATGCAAAATAAGATGAATTATATGACTGACATCTGCATTTTTATTTTCTCATGGCCCAAATTGCAAAAATTCATGGCACCACCAGAATATTTAAACTAGTTTTTATGCAACTGCAAAAAAATCATTATAAATCTTGCCAAAGAGCCAAAAATGTAAGGAAGCAAGAATAAAACATTACCATAGAAAAAAGTTACGTACTTATCTATCTCCTCCCTCCCCTCATCTACAAATAGGATTCTTCCCACCGTATATACTGTATCTGCATTAAACAGAAAGGAAAAGAATAACGCTCTCTAGAGAGAATTCTATCCAAAACGCGCCCCCTTGTGGCGTACAGCATATTTAGAAAGAAAAAGAATAAAGGAGAGACCGAATATACGGTATTTGGCAGCGCCAAAAGAATAAAGACGAAAAAGAAACTTGAATGGTATTGACTGGTCTGCTACTAAGGCAGCAACTGTAATTTAAACTGTTCTCCGATTCAGATTACAGCTTTTCAGTTTCACTGTCAAAACAGAGAAGGCTAATAGAAAGAAAGAAGGAAAAAAAAGATAAGATTATCAGATTGGTTAAAACTGCATAAGGTATGACCCTGAAACCTGTTGCATTCTACACACGAACAGTCCCTTGTATGTACATTTACGCCGTCATGTTCGTTTGCCACCGCTTCAATTTAGGCATCATGCGCATGTTATGATACGCATTGCTTTAATTCGAATACCCGAAGAAAGGCTGGCTACTTATTCCACGTATTGGAAGTGACAAGCTCTCTTTAAAGAATGCAAGTTTAAATAATAGAAACGTCCAAGCATGATCAGCTAAATAAACTTGGGGAATGGAAATAAAGGGGGAGGTGGGGGGCAGAGAGAGAATGTTTTCTTGTTAACTTAGTTTTTTGTAACCAAATACATTCTTCTTACATTAATTGCAGCCCACATCAGGGCCACCCAAAGTATGTGCGCGAGAACGTATTTCTTTTTTCCTCTTTTTTTTTCCATAGCAAAGCTGGGTGGCCAATTCGAGATTCTGATGCATCTCAACTGTCCCTGACATCCACGTTCTTGCAGAACAAGGGTTTCCTCTATGCATTTGCAAGCAATAAAAAAGAACTCCGTGAAAAAGTCACTGGATCGCTGCCGATTCCCCCCCCCCCCGCATAAGGAACCCTTAAGCGATCCACTCAGCCCGTATTAGGCAACGCGCACTCACCTCCTCAACTGTCAAAGGCATACAGATCCGATACTCCTTCATGAGCATATTCCAACACATTCAATGCAAACCAGCAGTTCAGGAGAAACGCGAACCACGGGGCACCCCGATCCTGCAAACGCAAAGCCGCCGACGGTCTACAGCGCCCCGGAGGTCGCCCGCTTGGCAATGACCGTAGACGTCGCCGCTGACACCATCCAGTAGGCTGACCCAGCCCCCGGGGAGAAGGACGGAGAAAAAAACCCCGCGATGCTGTGCTCCGATCTTCCAGGTTGGCAGCTTCAAACCGCGGTCAGGCGCTGCTGCCTTTCACACATGCACAAGCCGAAGGAGGCTGGGCGCCAAAGGCGGCGGCAGCGATCATACAAAGGCATCCGCCGGGACTGCTACAACCAGAGACATTTCTTAGCCGCCGCAGCCTCAAGACATGCTGCCCGAAGCCGAAGTCCGGGCAAAAGAGGCTAGAGCGAGCAACGCGCGCCCCGGGAAGATCGGCCGCCGCCAAAGGAGATGCTTCCTTCCAAGACAAAAGGCGGCTCGCTAACGTTTTCTTCTCCGTCTAGTAAACAAACGCCCTCCTCCTTCCCGAACGGGCAGCTGTCGGGCGGGCTCTGGAGCTAAAGAGCGGCGTCTGCCCGGCTCTCGGATCGGCTGCGGAACTGGCTTCACCCCGGCGGAAAGCCTGCCTGTCCGGGTCGTGGCTGAACGCGCCGAGGAGGTTCTGCCGCAGCAGCAAGAGCGGCGGCGGCGGCGGCAAGCTTAGCAAGGGTGTGAGAGCGTGGCTGACATCAGCAGCCCCGGCAGGAAGGAGGGCCCCATCCGGCCAATGGGGACGCGGCAGAGCCAGGCAGGCGACCCTTTGAAACAGCAGAGCCTGCCTCGGCTGAAGCGGCGGCGGGGAAAGGAAAGGACAGGACAGGAAAGCCGCTTACACGCCAGGCAGCGGCGGGAGGAGGAGGGCATGCTTGGAGGGCGAAAATCAGCTCAGGATTTTTCTTTTAAAAGTGTGTGTATGTTGGGGGAAGGGGTGCACGCTCAGAGACGTAGTGGAGGGCAACTGGCAAATTTAGAAATCTTCGGGGTCCAAGAAGGAGGAGGAAGCAACCAAGGTCTTTGGAGAGCCATTTGTTCAGAATGGGATATAGGATCTCCTGCCTGAGCAGGGGGGTTGGACTAGAAGACCTCCAAGGTCCCTTTCAATTCTATTATTCTGTTCTGTTAATCAGACAGCCTGGTGGGCGAGACCGGTCCAGATGTGGATTTCGACGTGAAATCTAGGCAAACCGAAACACGTGTCTTTCACCAGCACAGAGAAAGGAAAGGTAGCCTTCGGGGAACATCCTGTGACTATTGTTAGGGCCTTTTCTAGGGATTTCATTCGGTCAAGACAAAAAAAAAAGGGGGGGAGGACTATGTTTGTGTGTGTGGGGGGGGAATGTAGGTGTTGTGTGTATACAGGCAGCTGAGCTTTCATTCCTGCAAAACCCATCTGTGCTGAGTTGGAGCACAGTACAGCAGGGCCTTGGCTACACATTCCATCTGGTTTCCTTCCCTTGACAGATTTTATTGTGCAAACCCCTGCGGGCTGAGCTCAGAAACACTAACGGTGTTTTTGCTGAACATGTGATCTTAGCCTTACATCCTTCAGAAGGGAACAGAAGCAGAGAATAAGGAGAACTCCATTTTAAGAGCCAAGCCCCTTTTCTTGCTCCTTCTGTCTGAACTGAACCAGCTGAGTATATAAACACTCTCTGTAATCTTTGCATGGGGGAAAAAAAAATCGAAGTTGTTTTTTACATTTCATAATTGTTCATTGTTGTTCAAGAATCTAACTACTGCATACAATATTAAATTATATCCTTTCTTAGTTTAGAGCTCTGTTTAAGTTATCTTTGGCTACACTTGTTTGATTGGATTCTTCTTTTTAAAATGGCAGATTATTGGCAGATTATGTAGATTTGGTTTTGTGTCTGTTGGGAATACTTGATTGCAAACAGAGTAGTTTTAATTTTTAGGAGAGTAGCCATAAAAGCTGTTTTAGTGTAAAGAATGAAATCTGAGACATCTAAATGGGGATTATATTATTTATTGTGACTCTAAAACATATAATAAAGGCATTAGCCAATTTCTAAGTTCTTTTGGTTTATATGCTTTAATTGTTAGAAAAACAATTTTGTCTCTGTACTTTCGGAAAATATGAATATGAGTTATTTCAGTTGTCTGTGGCTGATTGTTTTAAATTATTTTTATTTACAGTAATTCACATGGATTTTCTTCTGCTGGAGTTTTGAATCTCTAATTTAACATTTATATGAAATTATACATAGTCCTCAACTTAAAATGGGGCAGAAGTCACTTAACTGTCTCACTTAGCAATATAAATTTTGGGTCCAATTGTGGTTGTAAATCGAGAACTGCCTGTAGTCTACAATCCACAATTTACCTGGAAGTGAAAACCACAACATTTTACAGAATAGCATAAATGTTTATGAACTGTAGACTACTTCAGCAGATATGTGGTGCTATCCTTGTTTATGTACATTTGGTCAGAAGAGAGAATTGTAAACAGTAAGATCAGGAAAATGACATGCACAATATAATATTAATAAAGTCTATTCATAAAAACATAAGAAAGGTGATATAACATATCCTGGCATTGGCAAGTCAATTGTATTCAGTAAGAGTCCACAGAGAATAGTGTTACTATAGTATTGGGCAAACTAAGAATATTTTAGCACATAGACTCACAACAAATGACAAATGTTGCTACTGTATAGTTTTGACACCTTGCAGCATTCCAGTGGAACAGATGCTTCATGCCTGAATCAGAGCATCACAAAAGTGATTGCCTTTATAATTTTACTAGTTCTGCTTTTCCTAAGGACTCATACACCATTAATCTGAATGTTAAGGTATGCATAGTATTTTGAAATATTCACACACACACACAAAAGTAGGCTCTTTTTAGATCTTGCCTGCCACACAAACCTAGACTTTGGATCAAGTTATGGATTAGGCAGAGCCCCTTAATGAGTTCTGTTGTAAACAATTAACTTGCACTTGGGCTCTTAGTATTGCAAAGGCTGCGAAAGGAGAATTACTTCGAAGTTAACTTCAAAGTTAAAGTTTCCTGACTTCCATGCTTAGAACATCTGCAAAAGGAGATACAGGTAGTCCTTGATTTACAACCATTAATTTAGTGACCATTCAAAGTTACAATGGCCCTGACAAAAGTGATTTAGGACTTTTTTTCACACTTCTGACCATTGTGAACTCAGTCAACTGAACATTCAAACTGACTGGTGCTGATGGTTGACACGGGTTGCTACCAGCATCCTAGGTATCAACCAGGTACCTCCTTAAAATGTAAGATGTTCCGACTAGCGCAGTTTTCTGTAACATTGCTAGAGTTATTGCAGAAAGCTGCAGTTTCTTGAAATAAAAATTATTATTATTATTATTATTATTATTATTATTATTATTATTATTATTATTATTATTATTATTGATCATTGCACAGTCAGCCAGATGTTCAGACTGGATTTGGCATTTTGTCTACCTATCGAGTCCTTACCCAGGACCTGGGATAGGCAGATGTGGATGTTGATGGTATTACAGATATCGTCGCAGGATGGAAGCAGTTCCTAGTAAGGCCGCCTTTTGCAATTGACTAATAGCGAATTTGTCAATGCCGATGATGGTGTTCCAGTGGTGCTCCAGTTGTTTTGGGATTGCACCCAAGGCGCCTATGACTATTGGTACTACCCTTGCTTGCCTTTGCCACAGTCTTTCTATTTCTATTTGTAGGTCTTTGTATTTTGTTATCTTCTCCAGCTCTTTCTCTTCTATTCTGCTGTCTCCAGGCACTGCCACATCCACTATCCAGACTTTTTTGTCTTTCTTATTGACAATTATTATTATTATTATATCAAAATTCAGATGCTTGGAAACTGACTCATATTTATGACGATTGCAGTGTGCATAGGTTATATGGTCACTTTTTGTGACCTAATGACAAAGTCAATGGGGAAGGCAGATTCACTTAACCATGTTACTAACTTAACAAATCAGTGATTCATTTAACAACTGTGGCAAGAAAGGTCATAAAATGGGGCAAAACTCACTTAACAACTGTCTCACCAAGCAACAGAAATTTTGGGTTCAATTATGGTCATAAGTCAAGGACTTCCTATAGTTACAGCCACATATTTACTCACCCTCTTTTTTTCCTGTCTTCAGGGTTATTGAGGGAAGGTACAACAGAAATGCAAAAAAAGGGGGTGTAGAGGAATTTAGAGCAGACCTTGAGGAAGGTATGAAAGATCCAGTAAGGGAGGGGGGGAGGAAGGGATGAGCCATTTAAAAAAAAGGAGGGCTGGGGAGATTGTCTGGCAGAAAAGATCACTCAGTCCTAGAGAAAGAGGGAAGGGTTGGAAAGAAATCCAATCCCATCTTGATTTTGTGTCATATAGGATGGGATAGAGCAGTGGTGGCGAACCTATGGCACGGGTGCCAGAGGCGGCATTCAGAACCCTCTCTGTGGGCACGCGCGCCATCGCCCCAGTCCTAGGCCTTCAGCTGGGTTTTATAAAACCTTTTCGTTTTAGGCCTCCGCCGCCGTGTGCAAAAAAAAAAAAGGTTCAATCAATCAATCAATTTCAACTTCTCGCGGGGAAAAAAAAGATCTTGCAAAGTTGGAATTGATTGAACTTTTTCATCCCACCCAGTGTGGAGTTACCACCGCAGCCACACCCACCCAATGGGCCACACCCACCCAATGGGCCACACTCACCCGGCACCCGACGATGCATAAGTGGGTTTTGGGTTGCAGTTTGGGCACTCAGTCTCTAAAAGGTTCGCCATCACTGGGACAGAGTAAAAATTAGAGAGGTTGTCAAGATTCTGTTGCAATACCTTCTTAGAATCTTGGCTGTGCCTGGGTCTTTCGCCATGCTCCAGTGTCTTTGATCTGGCCTACCCCGAAAGTGATGATCAAGATATTAAAAGGACCCTTCTCCTCTCCGGTCTGCAGTAAGCCTCCATGGATTCTAATTATCTTATCTCAACATTCAGTAGTAACAATCAGGGCTAGCTAGTCAGAATCATAGGGCTGGAATGGACCTTGGAGGTCTTCTAAGTCCAACCCCCTAACAAAGGCAGGAGTCCTGATAGTACCATCCCAGGCAAATGGTTGCTCAGTCCTTTCTTGAAAACCTCCAGCTGGGGCACCCACAACTCTGGGAGGCAAACTGTTCCATTGATTCATCATTCTCACTAGTAGGAAATTCCTCCTTATTGCCTGGCTTCCCCCCCCCCCCCATTGCTTCTTGTCCTGCCCTCAGGTGATTCTGGAGAGCAAATTGAGGCTCTTTCCTGTGACAGCCCTTCAAGTAATGGAAGACTTCTATCATGTCTCCCTTAAGCCTTTCCTTTATGGGCTAAACATGCCAAGTTCCCTTAGCCATTCATCATATGATTTAGCCTCCAAACCCCTCATCATCGTAGTTGCTCTTCTCTGCACTCTTTCTAGGACCTCAGCATCTTTTTTGCATCATGGTAGTCACCAGTGCTTTTTTTCTAAAAAAATAAAATAAAATGGTGCTGGAACTCACACACGTCATACAACCTGCCTTGCCTACTCTACAAGATTCCATCCAAAAAAGGTGCCGGAACTCCGTTCTGGGCGTTCTACGAGAAAAAAAGCCCTGCTGGTCACTGTGAAAATGTCTGGAATTCTCTCCAAAAATTCCATCCCAAGCCATATGGAGCTGTCTTTCATTCTCCACTCCTTTTATGGCCAGTCCCATATGGGTAGCATAGACTAGGTTAGGTGGGATATGCAAACATATTCTAAAAATTATCAACTAGCCACTACATCACCTTGAATAAAGATCTGTAGGAATGAGTAGTGATGTGCCATTCTTTGGATTTGGATTAAGGATTAAGCTAGGTTTGCATTTCAGGTGTTCCAAATGCAAAACTTTTGTCCTTGAATCCCAATTATTGTACAACCCTGATAATGACTGCAACATCAGTTTATTTAACTAGACCTGAATGCAAAAAGTGATCTTTTTTTAAAGATCACTTTTCCTAATTGGGTGACTCAGAGATCTATGAGATTGCAAAAGAATAAAAAAATATGGAGTAGTTCATCTTCCAATGCTGTTTTTAATGTTACCTAATCTGATTTTTTTGTGATACTTTTCAGATTTCAGAGTTGTACACATATTTATAAAAGTGAAGAAGCATTCAAAGCATTCAAGCTGAGAGTAAAAATGACCATTGCCTTAACTAATGAATATCAAATGTGCATGCAGCATCCTTTATCAGTTGCATTATCTTCACCTCAAAAATAGGCAGGGTAGTATTATCTACAAGCTTTTATCTATATTTCTAACCAACATTGGAAATTAGATTGCAAAACTTTTAATGATATGGTTTTTTAATGAAATGGTGACCTAGCGGGAAATAGGTGAGGTTGTTATATCCTGCTCTTAAATGTCCATTGGTCTTTTCTACTTATAGAGAACTTCTTAAGTTTCATTTTGATGCATTTGTACTTTCTACTGAAAAAAAGAAGACTATTCTGAAATTACAATAATTCTTACTGGCTGATTGAACTACATTGTACAGTGCTGTATTGGAAGGAGAGAAAGATCTTCAGGATCCGAATTGGTGTATAGTAGGTGTCTCAAAGGAGCTATGGAAGAAAAACAATATTTTTTTTATCTCTCTTCAGTTACAATTTTATTGGATGTTTAGGAAATTATTTCTTATTACAACATAGCCATAGAATTTATGTATAATCAATTCTCAAATTATTGTAAAGGCTGACATGTGGAAGCACTGCAACGAAGTAACCATCTTCTTATGGAATGATAGTTCTAGGTGTCATGCTAGAATGTTGAAAATACATTCAAAGATATTCTCCATTTTAGTCAAGAGTTTGCTTTGAGAGTTAACTATGAAAGCACAACAGTTACTACAAAATCTACCTGTTATAATATTGTTGCAATTGTCACACAGGACTTTGCAAACACAGCAAACATGTCCGAGAGAGAATTTTCCTTCCTTTGTTTGAACTTCCAATGAAAGTTCAGATGGGGTAGAGTGAGGACAGATTGAGTCCAGTATGGCAGAGAATTAATAACACAGTAGGGTACAAAGCTTAATAGGCACCATAGAAATTAGGTTATTAATTTTAACATAAAACAGGAACTGGCATCCTGAAAATCATCTTTATTTTTAATAATGCTTTTGGCCCCTTACAGAAGGTATCCCAGAAATAAGGATCAATCACCAATAAATGCTGAAGAAGGAAATTTTGTATTAGGTGATACATAAAAGACAGGTAAGAACAAGCATTGATGCAAGTTAAAAATTGGAACTTACTAA